CACACACCCAACAGCCCAGCCCAGCCCAGCGCTGACTTCAGGCAGGGTTTGGAAATGAGCCTAAACCCCCACCTCACCCCCAGCGCCGATGCACCAATCCCCGACACCACCCCCCTACCCCACACCTGACTCCTGGCAAAATAAGCCAGACTCTAATCCATCTTCCATCACAATAACACACACCCCAAACCATGTTATTTTGAAGAGTGTTCAGCAAGTTCATCTCTGGGGATGTTTTTGTTTTTTCCCCCATTGTTTTAGCAACACAAGATGCTGTAAATCAATCAGCCCTTTCCTTTGCTCTGGTTTAAAAGCTAGAAATGAGATTTTTCTACGATGCATTGTTAAAAATAAGCAATTGCTATGGGGGATGCAAACCAAGACATGTATGGTAACTCATTTACTTACCTTCTTCATTTGGAAAAAAATATTTTGCTTCACTTAAAAGCATCAGATATCAATTCTTTATAGTGTTTCATGATTTAAGTAAAGGTAAGAATTATCCCACTATTGTATTTTCTGCTTTATCACTGGCCTGAATCCAGGCTAGATGTTGACTAACATGGGGAATTACAGCTAAATACTGATATTGATATTTAATTCTCTGTTTGTATTTGTGTTTGGGCTCCTATCTACCTTGAGGATTGTAACCAAATGGGCTCGCTGAGTTTAAAACGCCCGGGATGGCTGCTATTCGATTTCAAAGGGAATGTTTAGAAACCTGATCCGACCCTCCAGCGAGCATACCTACACCCATGTCTCCCTCACCCCTCATTCTAAATCACTCCACTGGAGCAGTGTAAACAAACTTCAGTTTGCTCTCTGATATTGAGAGGTTAAGACAAGCGGCAATCCTCCACTATGACAACACGGCCTCAGACAGACGATGTCATCTGTCTTACCTCACTCTCCATCCATCACTATGCCGGAGTCGACATGTCTGACAGTCCCACTCTCGCTTTTCTCGTTGGCACAGGCCTCCACATCTGTCACATTTTCCTCCCAGCTTACTTTTATTACACCAGATGAACTCCGCCTCCTTCCCTCCGAATTCACGGACACCTGAAGGGCAAGCAGGCAGAGAGAAGTCCTATTGATTAGTCATGGTATCTGATGTCATACTGGCTCCATAAACACTTTTTTTCAATTGCCACTCGGCTACCTGTAAAAACGTGAGAAAGGAATGTGGGGGCCATATTGCACAAAAAAGAATTCCTTCACACGTAAATGTGTGAAGCTACAAGCGCAAACCCAATAAATTGATTTAGCTGCTGACTGATTTAAGAAGGTCAGAGAGAAGCATGCTGTGTAAACTTTAACTGAAAAAACAACACCAAGATTTCCATGTAGAAATGCCACCAAACTGAGCATGTTTTTAATCCATGGAGCAAACAAATAGTCGGTTTAGTCCTGTAAGAGGGAATAAGATGTTCTGGGACATCAAGAACTATACTGTTTTTCTAACATACACATAAAGTAGCAACAGGCTGCAGTGTTGTGTACATGGCAACATGCATAACATGAGCACAGCTGCATTACAGAGGGGGATTTATAAAGATAAAGGACCTAAAACTGAACCTTGAGGCACACCCAGTGATATGTCATACTCCTTAGACAAGTTTATTCTGCAGTAGGAACTTGAAGAATGTTTTGGGGATTAAAAGTAACACTGATTATCACGCAGAACCAGAGAAGCTATAAGAGAAAGACTTAAAGAATCCTGAGGAGAAATTTATGGGAGACTTTTGTAATGTCAAAGACGGAGGCTGTATGAAACATGTCCCACTCTTGAAAAAAAAAAGCTATTTGGCAGCTTCACAAGAGCCAAAAAAGAAAATATCTAACTAGTCATGTTA